AATGTCATCCTTTCGCGGGCTTTCGCAAATATTCGCGGGTTTCATAATTTCCCCGCTAACCAAACTTACCGTTTACTCTTACCCTCGACGAGCGCCTTCGATATAGCATCACCCACCAAAGTCGACAATCGTCTCTCAAATAATTGAGCCAGCAATGTTACCGCTATAAAAAAAGCACTTTGGTGGTGGAGTATGGTAACTGGCCAAGTCTTCCAAAGGTCATCTCGCCTTAGGTCATGTCGATTGAAACTAGAGTTATGTCGCTCACGATTTTTGTTTATGACGCCCTACGAGATCTTATTTTTTGTTGACAGAAGAACTAATTATTTATAGTATCAGACCGACAGTCTGTAAATGGGCTACATGAAAATTGAGAAATCTTTATCAACAAATAACCGGTTTCTGTTATTCAAACGGAATCGAGATCATGTTTGCCATAAGCGGTATCGGGGTCAATATAGTGTGTTGCGGCGACTGTGGCGCTCGCTGTATAGAAATCAATACACTGTGCACAGGTATTCGACTCGTGTCGTTCTTGTTCGTTTTACTCGAACCACACGGATATTTTAAAACGCAACCAAACTTGTACAACGGTGAAAACTAAGATAAAAGGCAAACAATAGCGGTAGTAAGAAAGAAACCTAGGGTAACAAGCAAAGGCTACGACTAAAACATGACAAAAAAAAAAAGGGAAACACTGACAACCTGTGCTCCTCAAGCGAACAACCAGGAGCTACGAATGAACACGATACATTTATGAACTTAAGGCTGTCGTGTAAGTGTCACGAAAGATCAACGGACAGAAAAAATGAGGGATCCCAAATATGAAACGGCGATCAAAGCATAGTGGTCAATATAACTGACGATATAGCGGTCGATGTGGCGGTTGACATATCGATCGATCGTCGGTGGATGATCGTCAATTAATATCATCTGTCGATATATACCGGTCGAGAGACGTTCGATATCTCGATCGTCAAAATGTCGATACTCAACTGCATCTGTCACCCTCACTTCACTGCTACTTAACTGATTATAAAACGGTAAAAACAAACGATAAGATCCGACGTTTCGGAGTAGTTCTGACTCCATTATCAAGGTAAAATATATCAGATCATGCACACTGCGGCATTTAAAGCGTTCTTAGCGCAAGACTTTTTCACAATAGGGTGCGAAAATTATGAAAATACTTTCATAATCTTCGTTAACCGTAACCCTGAGTAGCCTACGTAGCCTGGCTCTTTTAAGGGAGGGGGGGTGGTGGGAGAAATGCCTCTGAGCATAGAGTCTGAGCTCAAGGCCTTAAATTCTTCGCTGACTTCCCCTCTTACAACGTCGGGAACTTCGTGCTTAAAGACAGACTTGGCCATAGTACTCCATTGTTTCAGGGCCATGCCTCTGATAATTGTAGCTGTTAGTTTGTCGAGATTCTCCTTAACAATAACATTCCCGCTAGGATATGCTATAAATACCTTAACTTTACTTTTATTGGCAGTTAGGGCGATCGTATCTATGTTCATTAGATTCTGTATTTCGTCTTCGACTTTTTTCTTGAAGGTTGTCTGAGTCAATATTAAAAGCCAAGGGATCGTTTTCATCATAGCAACTTTGTTCAACATCGAAAAGATTCAGCTTCGACGATATTCCTCTTTTAACTTTGGTGTTTGATTACATACATACACACACACACACACACACACACACACACACACACACACACACACATACATACATACATACATACATACATACTTTATTGAGACTCCCTTCAACAGGGCTTTTCTTTCACAATGTGATTGCCTTTCCGGTGTTATTATCGTTGATAACACGCGCTTCTTCCGAACGCGATCAGAATAATGAACCACTTCAGTTTCTGCAGCTTTTTGAAGCCATGCGAGAATGTCTGCACCGTTTCTTAATTTTCTTGCACAAGGAGCCCAAAGACGCTCTGAATATTATGATGATTTACTTACGGGTGTCCCTAGGTTCCGTAGAACTTCGGCAAGCTCAACACGATATTTATCCTGTCGCTTCGAAGGCTTAAACAAGTTCTCAAAAGAGCGATTGTTTACATTCAAGTTGGTTTAGCAAAACCTACAAATATCGTTGACATTTTGCACTGGCTCATTTCGTCGGCGTAAACGACAGAGACATAGCAATTTAAGCGCTGTAATTTAGTGCGCTGGCGCTCTCGCTACGCGCCAAACTTTCACACTTGAAATTGACAACTCGCTCCCCCTCCGGTGATCGCTGATTGGCTAGGGTAATTTCATCGCTAAGGCGGGCGTTATGAAAATTTGACTAGGCTGAAAGCCAGGCTCTTTTTCCGCCTCAAACCCCTAAACCCTCCGCACCACGGTCGACATTAGATAGCATAGGGTGAAGTAGACCCCAATGATTAGCATTTTCCGATCATCGTTGTGACGTCATCTTCCGACCGCACTGTAAACTTCGAAAATTAACATGGCGGCGTAAGTATGAAACCAGTAGTTCATGTTGCGCACGACTGCAGGCTGTAAGCTTAGACTAGGCCACGCATCTTTTTAGTGTACGGAGTTGCAGACTAATAAGCAACTCGCTAGACAAGCAGAAGAATGTTTCCGGACCTACTTACTTAAGTGAAGGACTCTATGCTACCTCACCCGATGTTACTTTTCAGTACTTCAGGACAATGTATAAGTACATAACATAGGGTGAGGATTA